CAGCTTTCCATACTGTAGGTAGCGTATATTGACAAAACGGTTTCTATAACCATATTTTGGTGACACTACATGTAAGTATGTGCAATAATTCTTTTCAACGTAACTTCACTCTTTACAGCGAGGGGCATCACCAGCACTGCACGGTGCGGCCGAAACAGTCGCACTTGCGCCCAGAAAATGATGATATGCAACCAAATGTTTAATTCTTATCGCCAATGGCGACCATGATTTGTGCCTGTTGGTCGCCCACCTTGTCAGTCATATTTCATGAATGCTCATTACCGGGTTTTCTTCTATGTAAACCGAGCATGTGTCTCTGTGATCACACAGTTCTTTCTCCATCTCACAACGTACACAACATTCACGAGACCATGTTAAATGCAACGTTGCGTACATGTACATACACGCAGGTACTAAGTACCCGAGTCGACTGGTTTGTGGTCGCACGCTGTATAGAGAGTGTATGGGGGGCTGAGATGTTTCACATACATGTATATACAATACACAAGCTTCTATGCTCGCCACGATTCCGGTGCAATCAACTTGTTTCAGTCCCAAATGTACACGTATTTGAAGTTTGAAACCAAAGCTTCCCTTGGTCCGGTCCGGTCCTAGGTACGAAATACTCAAAAGTAAGAGAGCAAACATGCCTTGTCTTTTCTTTCAGTTTTTTAATCATGTAATTGGTTGCGATGTTTTATTCATTTCACAAGCACAAAATCCAAAGCCTGTCTGTCATGTGGATAATTGATAGAATAATGTTTCTATATGTGTTTTGTCAGATTTTGTACAAAAACATGTAACTTGTGTATTTTGCAAATGTGTGTACAGTATGTGCAAAAATCTACCTGGCCCCTGACTTTTTTTTTCTAGGAGCCAGTGGCTCCTCATTTCAATATTTTCCATACCGCACTGACCATCACCGACTACCCTGCATTGAAAGAATAAGATAACTTTGTTGCCTAGCCACGTGACTCCATACTGGCCGACAAGACTTGATGCCCACAGATCATCAGGATGATGGTGTGTATTGTTGCATTTTCCTTGGCAAACTGCCTGCATTGAAACCTTTAGTTTCAACCTCGACATTGTAGCCTTTGCTTAGGTTAAAGTTAAAACAAAAGATTGTCAAGTTTACACTGGGGCAAAGTGGCATCAGGGTGAAGTGAAAACGGGACAAAGTGACTGTAAAGCCTCCCCAGGTGTCACATGATCTGGTGTCAATTTTCAACAATTTTGCGCTTTTTTTCTACAGGCGTGTGCAGTACTTAGTCTTGTGCAACCTTGGATTTCCCAACATGTCAAACATTTCTTTTCTCACCCGGCCTACCCTGGACTATGTACATAGGCTGAACACCAATATTGTAAACAAAGCTCAAAAAAAGGTTGACTGACTTAAATCAAGTGGGGCAAGAGTTCCATATATGGACAAAATCAGAAACCACAGAAACATTACCATGCGCACTAGACAATAACTTGAAAGCTAGCCTGGGAAAAGTGGGATTGGGTGTCTGAAAAGTGTTTCTAAGGCTGTATTTGGGACACACTTTGTATCGGCAGTCCATCATGAGGGCAACCATTTTTCATGTTTATATCCAGGCACAGAGATAAAGAGTAATCACACCCAAGTTCTTTTCTGGGAAGAGGGGGACTCTGTGGCATTTTTTAACTACAGCCATGCACAAAATTGTTCACGTAATTCAAACTGCAAAAACCAAGGTGGCATAATGACTCTTATAAATGTCAGTGATGTATATGTACCATACAGGTGATACGAGTTCTGCCACTTTGGGGAACGTTGCACACTGGTTTCCCGATCAACGTCACTAGAAAATTGGTCATGCGTCCGTAGGTCAGGTTTTATTGAGTGAAATGGTTTGATCTTTCCAATGCAAGTTTCAGCCATTATGGTGTTCAATTCTATGGTTTCTAGTATGGGAAGGCCTAAACGTTTCATCATCAAAGGAACTGAAGTTTAAGACTTCAGCACTCACTGTCATGACTGTGGGAACCCTATGCTGTGATAGAAGTAGAACAGAAACAGGTCATAGCCAAATGCAAAATGATAAGTGGCATGTTACAAGATGTAGGGTAGGCTACATGTACATGTACAGTATACATGTACTTACCGAACACCAAGATCTGTGGGATTCGATGTCCACCCCCCTCGAACGAACCCCACAGAAAACAAGCCTATTCTGCCATAGGCTTTACATGACATTTAACAGAAATTTTGTGACCACTGTGTAGCCACAGAACTGCTGCTCCATTCCCCGAAGAGTTCTATGTAAGGTAGCTTACATACACTGTACCTTCGTACTACACTGGACAGCAAAAGAAACTTGCCACTTCTACCAAAGGCCTCACATAAAAATTCACTCCATAGAAATAAACAATTTTTGTGCACAGGTATGCTGCAATACCCCTTACTAATCACATGCCCAAAAGCAAGTGATTATCTTCACAACAAAAAAGAAATTGACATGCACAGCAATTTGGTTACTGAATCAAAAGTCACTCACAAAAGCACTCTCCACCAAGCAAAAATGACCCATGAATGGATAACATTTTAAACAACCAATGACAAAGTGAACACCTGTTTTGTCAAAATGATGTGCATGAGTGGTTTCTGTATAAGGATCCCATCCTTACAGACTATGCATACACATTATGGAAAAGTAGTGATTGTGACTTCTTTATTTCGTCCTGTGACATTGATTTCTGCATAAAACTTAAGGCTCATTCTGTTACATTCTGTGACTTTTGATTCAGTAACCAAGTTGCTGTGCATGTCAATTTCTTCCTTGTTATAAAGATAATCACTTGCTTTTGGGCATGTGATTAGTAAAGGATGTTGCAGTATACATGTACCTGTGTACAAATTTCTATGGAGGGGGTGGAGTCATTTTTTCTGTGTGGCCTTTGACAGCAGTGTTAAGTTTCTTTTGCTGTCCAGTGTATATACCACGAAAAAAAGGTCAAAACCATGTCCATTTTCAAAAAAGGTGCAAATATTTCCAGATCAGCATCCGAGAGACATGTGGTTCACATGTACATGCACTTGTGAAGATGAGCCATGGCCAAATGGTTGACTACGACTGTGATTGATACACAAGATATGGGTTACTGATTGCATGATTGATTGATAGTCCACGTTCACTCGCCCAGTGACACCCACTGTGCGCGGCTGCCCGCGTGCGATGGTCGCTTTGTCATGAAGGAATATTGTGATTGGATAGCTGTATCTTGCAAAATGTACGTCATGAAAACGCACAGTCTCATTAGCGGGTATGCTATCTTTTTGCAGCAATATGAATTATTCAGTATTGGATGATTAGTTGGGCTCGAGATGAGAGTAGTCAAGCCAACTTATTTGGCTGTATTTTTATCGGAATTGGGAAGGGACTTTTTGTTATGATGTTTGTGTGATCAATGTAAAAAACATTGATTTTTGAATCATGCTTTACGCTTGTCGTGACTACAGGAAACTGGTAAACAATGTCTGTGTATCACATTTTATGCGTGTGTGACACATCTGGAGGGGCGGGTGATTAGCCTCATGCTGCGACTGGACATTTTGTGGAAACACGCTCGTTTCAAGTACAAACAGTACATCTTCAAATTAAATACAGAAAACACAAACATAGACATGAGATCAATTTTTGTGAATGAACCTGCAGAAAAATTTGTGACGGCAGTGTTTTTTCGGCTTGCAACTGCAGAGCTGCATTCGTATACCATGTACATATAGTGGAATGCTCACGACCCTTTTTGGCAGGAACTGTACACTGACTGGTTGCCACATTTCCCTCGTGCCTTCTTTGGCAACGGTTTGGACCGGTGAGAACCAGCGTGATGCACTGCCCACATGCTTTAACCACCTTGATTCGCAAATGTTCGTTATGAATGGGTCGTCAACAATAGTTTTTCAGGCAAGAGTCATGAAAACCATTCGTTGTAACAGGAATTTCGTACAATGTGATTTCGCTGTAACAGATTTTTTTTCCCATAGAAATGTACATGTTTTCGCAGGGACCACAGACTTGTGTTTGCTACAACCGTAATTTCGTTACGGCTGATAACGAGAGTCGACTGTACATGTATAACTCCGTCGTGATGTTGTTTGTGGAACTCCTCTCTTGAACATGTTTTGAAGAGGCTTGTAACACACTAGAGCAAGGACAGGAAAAGTGGAAATGGGGCGAAGTGGGGATGGGGCGATGTGGAGATGAGTCTAAGTGGTTAGGGGTGACGTGGAAATGGGGCGAAGTGACTGTAAAGCGCTTTTTCCTCAAACTGAATCACCAAAGCAAAGTAATTAATGCAAAAAGTAACTCCTCATTCAAAAGACATTAACGGGCAGATTTTCAGAAGTACAAGTAGGACATTACCAATACCCCATAAAATGTTTGCAATGTATGTGCGTGATGTGTGGTGACGTAGGTTTTACTAATACTAGTAGTACAGCCGAACCGACTCGTTTGCAGATGACATTGTTTCTGTTGCTTCGTGGTGACATCAGATGTTTTTCATAGCTAGTATAGTTAGTATTACTATTAGGCCTATTCCGTAGATTTTTAGTCAAACTTTCAACTAGGACCTACTGAAAGTGAAGCTATACAAAATTTTAGCAGGTCTACATTTAAGAACAAGTTTAGGTCAGAGTACGGCCTAACAGACCCAGTGCGCGGATGGTGACTCGTGACAACTGATCTAGAGCCTACGCTGTGGCAGAATACTAGGCTTGTCTTCATAGGTGGAGTGGGGGGACATCAGACCCCAAGGCCACAGTTCTGGTGGGTATAGGCATACATTACTTACGTTAAGCAGGCTAGGGACAGGCGCAGGCGGGCGGTACGCGCATGTGGGCCAAGTAACAGTACACGTACGTACCAAGTATGCAGGTAGGCTATACATGTACAGTATGTAGGCCTCGGCCTATAGTACATAACATCCACCGACATCTGAATACCAACACAAAATGTGACCTGACTTCTTACCTAATGCGAGACACAAGCAGAGGATTAAATGTACCAACAACTTCAAGTTGAGCGTGCCAGACGATGCCATGGTAAAGGAGAACTGTCGGAATATCTACACTTTAGTTATCATTATATTACGACAGTCCGATTCAGAGGTGAACAGCACACATCAACATAGAGTAGTACGCGAACACTAGCTTAATTGTAGCAGCGCATCCATATCCGCGCTCCATGCATGCAGCGAGCGTCCAGTCATTGCATTTAATAATTATTTACATCTTGTACAGACGTTTTACGCACAGGAAAGGGTCGAGTTCCATCCGCCAATGACGCACCGCACTGCAATCCTCCCCATGAATCTCTCGGTTTCTTTTCACAATTCACATCTAAAACGTTCTCTTAGTTCCAAATTGTGTAAATGTACTTTTGAAAATTATTTTTCAGGTATTTACTTGTAAAACGGGCAACAGTTAATAATGCGTTACAAATATCAATACGCGACAACGCGACGCATGGTATCACTGAGGGCGCTATATAAAACCGCAAGATCGAGCGCAACTACATTGTGTGTACGTACAATCACAATACATAAACGTTTTGTACCGCCTGGTGCAGACAAGAAGCGCAACTCCACATCACTACGATACAAGCGGGAATCTTCTAATCGTTGCTTCTTTATTATTATTTTATTTGACGCACAGGAACAACGACAACATTCTGAAAAT